TGCTGTCCCAGCTGGGGGGTGAGAACATGGGTATTCTTTTTATTTTTAAAAATACTTCACTATTTTCACACATGTAAAAATGTCACCTTGTGGTTGGTTGTCTAGTAACTGCTCACAGGTCAGGATATTGGGAATATGGTAGCTGTGGTGGCCACTCATGGCCCAAACTGCCAGAGACGAATCAGCGATGGGATGGGATTGGGAGCTCTACATCTTCTCTAAATACACTGAAGCACCTCTGGACTCACCTTCACACCTCATGGGGGGCGGGGAGGTTGGAGGGGGGTGCACGCCCCATGACTGGCTGGCACTGGCTGCTCGGAGGCTTGGATCTCAACATTGCTTGCCTGTCTACTCAGTGCACCTGACTCGGCCGAGGCTGCCCTCAGCCTTTGACGCCACCGTGTGGACAGATAGGCTTTCTGATCACCGGCTCCTGAATGATCCCCAATCTCCAGACAGTGCTGCCTTAATAAGAGACTCAATTTCACTCCAAAGTCTGGCATCAGCAGGTCTCCGTGCCCCTCAGGCATCCTCCCAAGGAGCTGCCGTGGTTCTCCAGGCATCGCCCCGGCACCCAACAATGATGCCTGTGAACTTGATGAACTGATGAACTTTTCACCAGCCGATTTCCCTCCCCGAGGTGATGACAAGTGTCTTAAAGACCAGCCAAAGAAGGAGGCGCGTGAACAGCAGAGCTGTGCCCAGGAGAGCTTTTATTTGTACGGAACAGTTTTAAAAATACAGAATAAAATAGCTTTTATCTCTACTATTATTCACAACGTCTGGTCCAAATATTACATATTTTTAAAATACTTAAACGTTTAATGAAGCCATGTTAGAAAAACAATATGAAATTTCTTTTTAAAAACTCCATAAAAGAATTACACATCTCAAAAACAACCCCACCCTAAATACCCTCGGTATGCAAAATAAAAAAACAAAAAAACCCCAAAAAGGTACATAGCCAAAGTCAGCCACAAAAACTCAAGGAAAATATAGGCATCCCCACTGTGTTAAGAACAGTCAGAAATTTATTAACGTATCAAACAAAGGTTGTTACGCATGAACGAAAGAGGGTATTAACTTGAACTGTCAGTAACATGACCAGGCTGGTGAGGGTGTCCTAAATGCCAGAAAACACACACAATTCTAAGGACGCTGGGAGTTACTTATGCAGAGTGACGACGAGGCACAGTCAAGAACAACCTGAATGTGTGTGAGGCTGCTGAAAAGGGCGTGCTCTCTGGGTCCTTGGGCGGAAACGCTGGCAAAATGCGCGCGGTCTTCTTGCACTGTCGGATGGTGACTGCAGGTCGGGTAGCAGGGGGAGATGTTCTGTTCTTCGTGTTCAAGTCGTAAGTGGACAGAGCACAACACATGCAGCAGGTGAAAATCCAGGCTCTTCTCCAAAGCCAAGGGCCAGCTCCCCGGAGAACTGTCAATGCTCAGGCTCGTTTGCACAGCCGCGGTGTCCAGGAGGCGTGGCTGGGTGCACACCAGGCACCCAGTGACAGCCACACCAGGCCTGGTGTCTGCAGCCAAGCGCACACCCCAAGCACAGCGGCCCACAGGATGCTGCCTCTCTCGCACCAGACAGGCTCTGGAACAAGGTTCCTGCCACAGCTCCCTTTTCACCTTCTATCTGGCCTGGCCACTCTTAGCGGCATCAATATTAAGGAAGATTATAGTCGCCAACTTCAAGTCTAGGTTGCTAGTACCAGTATTTCAGCAGGGACATGAATTAAAGTAATAACAACTTAGCTGACGGTCATAAAATATACGCATGGGTAAATAAAGTATACACACATACTAGAGATTCATCAATGGAGAAATTCTATCATCACATGACATTGTCATGAAAATTATATCATTCCCTCCCTGGAAAACGGTAACTATTATCCTGGGCAGAAATGTTATTTTACTATATGGAAATACTGCAATATTCATGCATAAACCAAGTTGTCATCATGAAAGTCAGTGTTCTACAGTATAAAGCAAATCCTGTGTGTGAATTTGTTACCATGAAAACGGGAAACCATCAGGACCCATGATGCTTCACTGCGGCTGACCTGGTTAAGCCACTTCTCTTGCTTTGATCCATCACAACCAACTCACTAAAAGTTAACATTTGACGCCCTCTTAAGAAAGATTTGATTCTAATGAGTCTGCACTGAACTCCCTAGTGAGAATGAGAATGAAAATTGCTTACAAAGACTGGAGCTATTTCCCAATTTCTCTGTGAACCTTGTTAGGTATTTTATTAAAACCGGTGGTGGGGCCCCATGACCCACCCGAACTGGGATACGGCAGCATCAACTATCCTTATAAATACTTTCCATTTCTTTTCTATATCAAAATGGTTCACATACATGTGAAGATGGTGGGTAGGTGGTCACTGTGGAAACTGGAAGCAAATGCCCTGCTCAAGGGCACTTACATGAGTGAGCTCACAGGGACAGATCACGCATGGCCACCGTGTCCCTCCAAACCCCCCTACAGGTGGTATCTTAAAACCCAGGCAGCAGATGAACACACTTTTTTTCTATTAAACTCATTCTGTGGCATATTTGCTAGCAGAAGGATCACTTCCTAAAATGGTTGGTGTGTGCTGCTTGTGCAAGATTTATGCGTCATCCTGAGGCTCAACTCCCTCCCTTGGACAATGGAACAAGAAGGGCAAAACCCCTTTCCAAAGGCGGTGTGGGTACAGGGCTTCCCTGCACGTAGGAATGCTTGCAGACATCCCTCCACATAGGAATGCTTGCACACATCCCTCCACGTAGGAATGCTTGCAGATTTGAAACGGACCCAAGGAGGGGTTTCAGAAGGGAGTGGGTTTCTGGACAAGCCCGGTCAAGTTATGTTGAAAGGAACTTGTTTGTTTCTGAATTACTGATGGCCCAGATGCTTTTATTTGGGTATTTGGTTCTTCTGCTCACCTATAGAGCTAGAACACTGCAAATCTTTGGGAGGTGTAACAGTTTTCCCCATTTTTCAAAGCTGAGAAATTTAGATGCTGAGCAGAAATACAAATAGAAGGAACAGAGAGCAAGTCAGTATCAGAGGACTGTCAGCCTGGAGGGCATACCAAGTTAAAGGGATGGAAATGGTTAAGGGATGTGCTTCAAAATAAACTAGGCATCAAATACACATCAAAGAAAAGTAACATACAAAATTAAATGTAATTTATAATCTAAGTTCTTTACTTAATCTGCAATAAGGTCTTGGCAAAACAATGAAGTGGTTCCGAAGAGAGTTCTTGCTAGAACAAGCCTTGAAGTCCCCAACTTCCCAGGAGTCAAGGAGGTGACACAGAGGCAGCCAGGGGACAGGAAGGGCACGAGATGGACACAATAGGGCTGAGACCCAGACCCATGGCCCGCTGTTGGAGACAGCAACACCCACTGCATTCAAGCCTCAGACAGGTCAATGAATACACAGGAAGAGAAGCATGACCTCATGAAGTGAGCTCACTACGTGATGTCTCAGAATTTTCTGGCTGAAAAACCTCAAACCAAATTCAAGAAGTTTCTTTCCCCCCCAAAAAAGAATTTAGTGTTATGTAATTAGAACTCAACAGAAGGGACCTGCATGCTGCCTTTCTCACCGCCACCTTCTTCAGGAACTTAAAACAAGAACGGCAGCATATGTCCAGGGATCTAACCTTCCCCTCTGCCAAATCAAGACCCAGTGGACATGCCACATGACAACCCACAGAAACCCCCTTACATCTTAACTGCGAGGAACGACTTGCAACAGAACCGCAGCGGTGGGTGTACCAGCACGCCCACCATTCGATATGGCAGCTGCTTGGTACCTTCCCCGGCTTCCCTTCTTCACAAAACAAATTCACGTATAAGGTAAGCCACGGTTTCTGGGCTCTGGTCCAGTAGTTAGTTTTGATAAATAGATTAGGCATTACAGTATTTACACTTTCATGGTATCAAGCAATACAACCACAGTAATGGTTACTGGCCCTCAAAAGCCATGACAACAGCTTCCCTGATGGTGTCCACAGCTTTACAAATGCTGGTTCTTTCTTGCTTTAATGGGAGAAGTGGGAGGGGCACAGTAATAAGGATGCAAGGTAAAAGGGTCACATGGAAAAACACTGATTTCAAAAATCTGCTATAGTCAGTAATATTAAATAGGAATAAAATATTGTATTTATAGACACATGTGACAATAACCGACATCCACATGACAGCAGAGCCAAGACACCCATAAACGTCTGGCTGGTGCCCCCGTGTGGCACTCCACACCTGTTGCACCACCAGGAGTGAGAAGCGCCAGATAGAGTGTCCCAGCTGCTCGTGAAGAGAGAGGCCAGTGTGAAACGTGCTGGCCCAGCCTGGGCCAGGTGACCGAGATAAAGCAGCTGAGAACCAGATACTGACTTCAAGGTACCTTCCTTCCCCCTCAGTCCCCCAAAACACATTTCCATGCTAATACTCTGTGTACAGACCTTCCCCAAGCAGATGGGGCATAGGTCTGTACAACAACATGCTGCTGTTCCCCACGGGAGGAGCAGGGAGCGTAGCATCACATTTGACCAGCTGTGACAATGCGAGGATACTGGTGCCCTTTCACCACAGGAGGGCTCTGTGGTTCAGGCGGAGGTCAAATAAAAACAAACAAACACACCAACAAACCAAGCAAGTCCAGGTGCTTCCAGGACAGAAAGCCCCCAGACCAGGGGTGGGAACCTTTTTTCTGCCAAGGGCCATTTGGATGTTTATAACACCGTTCACTTAATTCACTTAATAAAAATTAATGTTGCTATGAAAAAAGCTCCTAGATTTATTGAATTTCGAGTCCTGCCAGAGGTTGCCTTGGCAGGGCCGGACGTTCCCCACCCCTGCCCTGGAGGCGGCCTGTAAGAAAGCTAGCATGGGTGGTGGAAGGGGGGCTGAAAACAAGGAATTGCTGTGGATTTCAGACATCTACTCCCACAGGAGGACAGGAATTTCAAGTTCAGTGACCACAGCCAGCAGTGGACATTCTCAGGGGCAAGGGGTTGGGGCTTAAATAAGGAGAGAGGTGAGACACTATTAGACACGATCACCACTCACAACAAAAAAAGCTACTTGCAATCTGTCTTAGCTCTGGGGTACAGAATGTAAATGCAGATACACAAACATATATGTCACTGCTTGTTACTCAGCAAGAAACTACAGATCATGCCTCACTGCGGCCAGGCCACAGGGCAAGCTACGGCTATACCGTGGCCTGCAAGTCCTTGTCCGGACTCCGGCTGTTTGCGCTCTTCCCGAGGCCTTTCCACGTGTAGCCCACAAAGGTTGGGCTGATGGGTAAGTAGCTGAAGCACTTGTATTTTTTAATAATGTTCATGCCGAATGGCAAATCATAGGACTCCATGCCATCAAGCGACTTGCTCCCTTTGCCTATGCCTTTCTTCCATTTCCGGATTCCTCTTTCCTCCGGAGTACCTACAGGACACACACATCAAAACAAAGCAATGAGTGTTGAGTTTAGCAGTTCTTCCAGAAGCAGAGAGTCTGACATGCCGTCCCACAGAGCGAACCTAAAGGATGACAGCAAAGCACCCTTGACGGCACTCGGCTATCCAGGGGCCCAACCCAGAAATCTAAGAATCGCTAATCCATCTTGTTCCTGGTGCTCCATGTCCAAATGATCTTCCGAGGCCTCTACCTCACCCCGTCCTTCCACGTGATACATATTCTTACTGCAGTTTTTCCTGAGGAAGTCTGGTCCAGGAAGTGTCATTGCTTTCAAATGCAAATCTGATCTTGCAAAATGGGACCCCGAGTACTTGTTATACACAATGCCTTCATCAATTGGTCGTGGCAACCCCCCAACCCGGACATTCTGAGTTTTATACTGCTTCCCTCTATTTTAGTGCGCCTGTGTGTATGCTGCACTCGGCTACGCCCCACTTGTGGCTACGCCCCACTTGTCGTGCTCCTGTGAGGATGAACTTCTACTGGTTAACACTCCGGGCTCTGACAGATGAGCCTGGTGCGGAGGAGCACTGTTGCCTGCCTCAGCTACAACAGGCCATGTAACAATATACCGCTGTGCCCGAGCCTGGGTGATGATCTTGAGTCTATGGTGCAATATTTAGGATCCTCATTATTTTCTTACATCTAAGCTATGTCTCCACCCCGTTGGTGTTTCAGTAACAAAACTGACTTTAACTTCCATCTCTGACTCATATGTCTCTCCCTCAATTAGCTCTGACTTAGGAGAGAAAGAGGGTGTTAGTTATTGACCCTCATAAATCTAACACCGTCCACCTATTCATGTATGTGTTCATCCCAGTTCCCGCAGCATCCTCTTGATTGAGGATTTGGGGGTGAGGGGGAGGTCATCTCAATAAGACCTTAAAGCTCAAGAATAAACATTACCCTTTCTTGTTGGCAGGTAAGTCTACCGGTGTTTCTGTGGCATTTACAGCAGTACAGAGCAGCCTCTGTAGGAAGCTGGGAAGGCCACAGGTCACATCCTGGTCCACCACCCAATACTTGGCATCTCCCAGCTGAGAAACAAGGGTTATGGGTGTTGGAGAAATGCTGCCTCCCAACCTGTGCCGCTCGCCGATCCTGGCAGCAGCCTGTGCCCACTGTCCTCGTGTCATTTGGTCTTAGTTGGCTGGCACCTGCCTTAGGAAGGACTTGGACTCATTTAACGGACAGGCTCCCCAAGCAGGAGAAGTGCCAAAGACTGTTGCCAATGAAACCAAACTGCAGGGTGCTGGGCAAGGCTGTGCAGGGAGGGCAGGCAGGCTAGAGTGTGCCCAGGGCAGCCCACTGCCATTTCACCCCATGCAAGGAATTTCTCTAAAAAGTAGCTCAGCAAGAAGGAAAACAGCTCGATAAATTTATTAGCAAAAAACTGATTTCATAAAGAAGGCTGGCAGTGTCATCTTAACCACTTCAGAAAAGATAGTTTTGACCAGTGATGGCTTTGAACAGACTCACTCTTCCTGCTTCCTATATTTATTTGGCAAAAAAGTAATTCACATAGGTAGTAAGCATGTTGGACATATACCACATACCTGGGATGGTGTTATCCAAAATAAAAGCCACACAGCCTCCTACAAACATAGCCGTTGTGAGGAGAACGTTCAGCACTTGATCAATGCCCGATATCCCTGGAAACAGAACACAGCGGTGGGGTCACTGTCAGCCAGGACACGCCTGGAAAGGAGCGCTGGGGTGGGCACTAGCTGCCAGTCAACGCAGGGCACGGAGTGTGCCGCCCTCGTGTTCACGTATAGTGATGCTTTCAACTCCTCTGAATACCTTCGATAATAACCAGAGGGAAATCCTTAACACCTAATACAGTGAAGTCACCCTACAATGAAATGTGAAGCCATTGGGGGGTGTTGTTTGCAGATTTAAAAAGAAATCAATATAAAAGAAGGCTGTGTCAGGCTCAAAAAATTACCAAGTGAATGAATAATAAGACAATTAAAATATTTGTGGTATCTGCCATCAAAAAAAGGTTTTCAGAATCCTCAGTTACTAATTTGTGCTTAGCTTTTAATTAGGAACAACTGGATTTATAAAAATGTCCTTATGTGAATGTGATATGTAAAACCATCAAAAGCGGCAAGAATCTCCTTGCTATTAGAAGTTCACATACTTTCTCTATTTAAAACATGAGCCAGCACGTCTACTCATAGGTGTATACCCCAAAGAATTGAAAACAGTGACTCAAAACAGTACAGTCTATTCTCATTATTGGACAATTCTGTCCCTGTGAATTTGCCTACACACTAGTTTATTTGTAAGCCCAAGATGTATACTAATGATGCATTCAGTCATCTGTGGACACGCACAGAGCAGTGAAAAGCCTGAGTCGCCCAACACGCATGTTCCCCACTGGGGTCAAACAAGGTGACACCCTGCCTTCTACTTCAGCTCGTCCTGTGAACACATGTCCTTTTAGCAGTCTATTCAGTACCACTCGCTTCACATTTCTGTGCTTTTGTTGTTGTTGATTTTGCTGATTAAAATGGCCCCCAAGTGTTGTGCTGAAGTGCTGTCTAGTGTCCTAACTGCAAGAAGGCCGTGAGCTGCCTCGTGGAGAAACACGTGTTAGATAAGCTTCATTCAGGCATCAGTTACAGTGCTGTCGGCAGCCTCCCCCTGGGAGCAATGGGCCAGGATTTGCTAATTCCATGCTCACAGAACATAACTACCAAGAATGAGCACTGATTGTATTGAATATAAACTGTAATTGAAAAATAAAATTTTAAAAAATCGATTGGACTGAATATCAAATTTCATAATAGCACTAGTCACAACAGTCAGAAGGTAGAAACAACCCAAATGTCCATCAATGAATAAATAGATGAACGGATTATGGTATATACATACAATGGCATATTATTTAGCCGTAAAATGAAATACTTATACATGCTAGAACATGGATCCATCTCGAAAACATTACGTTAAGTGAAAGAAGCCAGGCCCACCTCACAGGATTCCATTTCTATGAAATGTAAGAAGAGAGAAGCCCACAGAAACAGAAAGCAGGTTGCTGGCTGCCAGGGGCTGGGAGAAGAGGGAAGGCAGGGATTAACTTCTTCATGGTCTTTATTTTGGGTGATGAGGTCGTTTTAAAAACTAGGTGTGAGATGGTGGTTATACAACATTATGAATGTACTAAAATGCCACTCAACCATTCACTTTCAAATGGTCAATTTTATGTTATGTGAATTTTCCCTCAGAAAATGTAAGTATGTACATATATATAAAATGGTCCCCAATTCTACATAAAATGTTGGCAGCAACGGCTATTTCTTAAGATGGTTCCCCTTTACTCATTCCCCATGACATTGGGGAATTAAAATTAAAAGAAAGGGTCTGAAAGGTTCATCTTGAATTCAAAGTAGCTATAATTCCTGTAGAAAAACAAGTATTTCAAAGTCTATAGAGCTTCAAGGAATTATAAACTTCAACACAGCCTTAGTCTGAGAAATCTAAGGTTTTACACACAGGCATTCTCCCGAAGGCAAGGGTCCTGGTGGTGAAAAGAGAGACCTTGACATGCATGTTAGTTGCATGCACACGCCAGCTCACGTGGGAAGTGCAAAGGGCTTCCAGATAAAGTGCAGCAAAGTGAGATTCAAATGAAACACGCAGGTGAACGTTCGCCAAACCAATCCTGAAGTTCCCACGTCCTCTCCGACCGGTGATGAGCTGTTCGAAAACTGGTGGCTCTGGTTCCAACACCCCTTCCTA